TCTTCACACGGCCCGCGCCGCTGTGCTCGGATGCTCCACTGGGAACAAAGAACCGCTAAGCATTGTTCCACCCCGTGTGCGGAATTCCGCAAGCAGGCCAGGTGCACCTCCATTAGGGCTCAGACATGATGAGGAGGCCCCGAGGGGCCCCAAGAGTGCAGATGGAATTCGATTGAAAGTGAAGCACAAATGAAAACCTGAACAAGTCCAGATTTCAAAGATTATGGCAGTCGACAAATATAAACAGAGACATAAAACATACTAAATTTAAACCAGGTACGGTTGGAAATGTACAAAACAACAAAAGTGAAGGTACTTACGGAAAGCTATAGATGAACCTGCTGATGTTGACTATGCTGGAAATAGAAGCACAGTTCAGTGAGGTGATGCAGTTCATGCTATGGTAAATATGACCTCATTTACGCCACCACCTACCCACTGTACAATTTATTCAAAGCCATTCAGAAATAATTTACAAGACTTTTCAAGGATGTCTAGAACAAAATTTTCAAAGCAATACACTTAATTTATGAATTTATAAATTATTGAGACCTTGGCCATGATGCATAACAACCGAACTGTGCAAAGGGAACATTATGTGACAAGTTTTTACTGTATTAAAATGAAAGGGAAATGCTGCAGAAAACACAAAATCTGATTCTGTCAGGTGATTGATTCTGTTTCAGGCCTTCAAATCAGTAACAGTGCACCTCACACAAGCCAAATCCATCATATCTATTGTGGATATACCAACCAAACATCAAACTCACCAATAAAAATGTTGAATGTCGCATTTAAAAAATAAATAAATAATAATAATTACAATAATTGGAAGTTAGTTCCACTTGGTTTGATACTTTATAATCTAATGCAATGACATTAATTTGTCCAAATACCATATATTGACTATTCCACCCAAAACATCATGCACACACGAGAAGAATGTGAGAGCCAAAAAACACAAACTGCCTCTTAGAAAGTCTTAAGACAACCAAAACCCAGTGTTGCTCCCACTGAGAAAGCCATACAAAAGAGTCTTTTCCAACCAGATCCATTGTAGCATCACATGAGGGGAACATTTAGTGGGAGAAACAAGAATCTGCAGTAGTAAAACTGTGGGAAACATGAGCAATGATAACCTTGGTGTCTTGAAAACAAGTATTGGCATGACAAATTGCCCGTCTCATCAGTTTGTCCAAAGCTCAAAGCACATTTTGTTTTTATACCCAAAATAGTATTTCTGAAATAAGAGGTTACATAAAAGCTTTGTAATTACCCTGTGCACTCATGTACAAACACTCATTTTCCTTTCAATTCAAATTTTTTTTTTTTTTGTTCAAACACTGTGATTGTAGCAACAAATGCAGGTGGTAACAATTGGTCTCTGAACTATGATACTCCAATTGTAACATCCTGTTATGGTGAGCTGATATATTTTAAATTAAACGTTTTCATTTACACAGAAAATGAATGCAAAGCCTGGAGTTTAGCCAGTGGATTTGGTTACTGAGAAAAAAAATCAGGTCAAGTAGTTTTAGGGCAAAGAGCTTCGAGTCTCTAAAACATGGCTGTCTAGCGAGACAATCTGAAGCAAAAGTAAATTCACAGTGCTAGAGCGGATAAAATGCAACCCCACAGAGTCTCACAGGTAAAACCAGATTTAAAAAATAATTTAAAAAAGTTATCTTCCACAAATGAAGTCTGTCTGCGCTTTATAGAGTTTATTGGGTTCAGATGTTGTCCATTTAGACAGCTGCAGGAACCGTATGAGATGAACTGTCGGCTTGAATCACTGCTACATAGCTTTTTACAGTATTACATTTTTTCTTTGTGTCTCATCTGTTTTAGGGTTATTGGGGTCATTCAAAGGAAGTCAAAATGTCTCAAACACCAATAAACACATGCAGAAATGGATCACACAATGAAAAATCTAATTTTCATTGATCCTTGAAAATAAAAGAGCTTAATGCGCTATGAAAACACTTTTACTTTTACAACTAACTGATATCAAACATATGAATATACTAACACATAACAGCCCACATTACACAAAAAAAAAAAACAGTTGCTTTCAGTCAAACTGAGCTAAAAAATGGCTAAAAGTGCTGCATGTCGTGTTGAAACACCCTGTTTCCATACCGTTGTAGGAGATTTGGGCTTAATTTAGATTTTCATCAGCTAAGTTATTGAGATGAACAGGAATGATAACTGATAGCTTTCTTGTTTTATTGACCTCCATGGAATTTATATAGGAGCATCAAAGCAAAGTATAAAAAACTGCCCGTTTAATCCTACAGATCAGAGAGAGAGAGAGTGTGTATTTTTGACCTGTGGGATTATATATAAAATGTATACAAGTTTTTTTTTTTATTAATCAAGAACACATTAATTAAAACTGACGCTAAAGATATTTCTAATGTTACAAAAGACTTCTATTTCAAATAAATGCTGTTGTTTTAAAATTTCTATTTCAATCATGACAATTCTCGGAACATTTATTACGTTAACACCCCATCAGAATGCGCCATCTAGAGTTTCATGACTGAACTATATATTTATTTTGAAAAAAAATGCATCATGGTTTCTACAAAAATATTAAGCAGTACAACTGTTTTCAACATTAATAATAATAAGAAGAAATGTTTCTTGAGCAGCAAATCAGCATATTAGAATGATTTCTGAAAAATCATGTGACACTGAAGACTGGAGTAAAGGCTGCTGAAGATTTAGCATTGCCATCACAGGAATAAATTGCATTTGAAAATATATTAAAATACAAAACAGTTATTTTAAATTGTAATAATATTTCACAGTATTACCGTTTTATTGTATTTTTATCAAATGAATTCAGCCTTTCTGAGCATAAGCGACTATTTTCTTTTTTAACTGTAATGTATGTATTTATATTTTTGCTATAAAAACCTTGATCATCAGTGTAAGTGGACGTCAGGAGACCCTGTAACAAGACCCTGTTATTACTCAAAACACCCTATTTCAAACCACTGGTGGGATGAGGTCTATAATAAACATTTTTATGTGTATACTTGTATCCTATTCAATGTTTAATGCTGATGCACAAAACACTTCTTTCCTGGGTCATAACATAATCACAGACAAGGAAAAATTACAGTGACCGCAGGTGGCTCAACACCCTCCACTGAGAAACCCAAAGCCTCTTCAAGTTCCCACTGAACTGAAGCCAGATCTCTAAAGCTACAGAACAGAGCCACCCGAGGACAGACTGTTCCAAAGGGTCAGCGGGGAAGGGATGTGAGGAATTATGCCTGTGTAATGTGTCTAGATTTGTCTTGCACAATAAATTAAACCAGTCCAAGTTCAATTAGGTCAAAGGTACAAGTGAGAGTGTTAAAGGCGCTTGGCATACTGAAACAGGAAATTAGGGTGGAACATATCAAAGTGCTAGTCCTTTTTTTTATTATTAGTCAGTAGACTCAAAACTAACAGACAAGAACTAAAAGCCACAAAAATCAATTTAGATTCATTTAGAATAGCAAACACACAGCAAAGCCTTGGAAGGAACTATGATAGCAATCACATAGCAACACCTTAGCAACCACACAGGACATTATAGTAATCACATAGCAAAGCCCTTGAACCATGATAGCACCATCCTAGTAACCACCCAAAACACCTAGCCAGTGCTGTGTAGTAACTTGATTACATGTAACCTGGATTACATAATCAGATTCCAAAAATTAAGTACTTGTAATTAGATTACATTACATTTTAAAATACTTGTATAAAGACTATACAGTACTTTCACTGATTACATATGATTCACACAATAGAGTTACCAGTCAGGTGGCTATAATTTCACAGAAATTTGAGGGGCCACACAGCATTTGACCACTGGATTTCATCTTTTAATTTTTAATAAGTGTTTTCTCAACATTTCAACATCACACAACTACTGACAAACACATCAGTTTTTTTATTTACCCTGTAGTTCTTTCATGAACCCCAGTTTGGGAAGCCAACTTTTAAAGCACATCATATTGTTAACAACAACAAATGGAATATATGTATGTTCCTTCTCTTTGTATTTTTATATCAAAATGATACAAGATTATCTCATTTAAATCAATGTGATAAATGAGTTGGGTCAAAAGTAATCTAAAAGTAATCAAAATGTAGTCTGATTAAATATGTAATGTAATGGATTATGTTACTATCTACAATTTTTGTCATGTAATTTGGAATCAGCAATGGACTACAGTAAGTAATCTACCCAGCACTGCACATAGCAACACTAACAACCACACAGAACGCCTTAGCAACTGCAAAGAAATGCCCTGGCAACACTCTAGAAACAAGTGATTTCACGACATCTATAAGCTAATGTGATGCTCTTTTCATCTGTTGTCAACTATTCAGGGATCTTGAAAGAGAAACACGTGTCCAATAGCAGAGTCTCTGCTTGCAACCCATAGTAACTAATGATTGTTTCTGGGAAATCAATCTCTTTGGAAGCGGCGAGGATCAAATGTCCTCATGTGACTATCTATGTTTCACAACAGTGTCCCACTTCCTCAAGGGATTTGGTGGCCTCTCAGGGACACTGGCATACATTCATTTGAGAACTGTTGTCCTTAAAAAGACCTTAACCTTTCCATTCTATGAGAACGAATCAGATGGGGCTCAGATTAGCAGAGAACAGCACTAACACAAAGACTGATGGGCTCAGCGTTCCTCTTTGTCTGATGGTGCATTCAAGTCATGTCGGATAGATTGTATTTACGAGTTGAACGCAAATGAACGCCACCACAAAGTCGTTATTACGAGTGGGAAACTCGAAATTTTCTTTAAGCCCCGAGTTTCCGAGTAGGGGGCGTGTCAATGAGAAACATGGCGGAATCGATGGATGCAACATCTGTAGTTGACGGTAAATTTTTGTTTAAATTGATAGTTTAATTGTCCTATAAACTTAAATTGGTCATGTTCTTGTTATGCAGCTGAAATCCAAGTAAAAAAATGCAGACCCTGTTGTATTTTCTTGTAATTTATTAAAAGAAGGTACACCGCCATCTTGTGCCGACTAAACTGACTTGAACGCACCTGACGTCGTAATTACCACTTGTCAACTCGTAAGTACGAACGTCCCAGGAGGACTTGAACGCAGCATTAGATAGATGGCTGTCTGAATTGTAAGTGGGGAAACAAAACTCAGAATTGAGCTCATTCTTCTGTCATTAACAAGGAAACTCAATGTTAACAGTGTTCTTCAAACTTCATTGGATCCGTTTTTCAAGTTTCTTGCATGACAGATATAAATGTTAACTCGAAAATTCTGCTTTGTTGAAAAGAGATGTGTTATTTGTTTTCTAAGTGATAAGAACAACATAACAACACCCTAGCAACCACCCAGAACGCTATAGCAACCACACAGCAATTCCGTAGGAACCATACAAAACACCATAGTAACCACATTCATGTAACCACCCAGAACACCAAAGCAACCACACAGCAACACCCGACCCTAGCAACCACCTAGAACACCAACCACATACATTAGCAAAGCCCTGGAACCACAAAAGAAAACACATATCAAAACCCTGCAACCTATGATTGCAACAGCCTAGCAACCATCCAGAACACCATAGCAACCACTTAGCATAATCCTGGAACCACAATACCAGCTACATAGAAACACCCTAGCAACCACCCAGGACACCATAGCAACACCTTAGAAAACTATAGTAACCACATAGCAAAGCCCTTGAACTATTCTAGTAACCACCCAGAATACCATAGCAACACCCTACCAAGTTAGCCACCAACCAGAACACCATAGCAACCACATGGCAACACCCTAGCAACCACAGACATTAGCAAAGTCCTGGAACCACAATCTCAGCCACACAGCAAAGCAATGAAATCACGATAGAAACTCCCTATCTACCAGAAGAAAAACACCATAGTTACCACCCAAAACATTAATGTAACCACATAGAAACACCCTAACAACCACTCAGAACACTTTAGCAACAGCACATACTGATTTATTGTTTGATAAGTTAGTAAAAGCCTTGTCTGACCCATTTTCCACCACCTGTTTTATTTATTGCTGGACTGCATGTTATCCTTTTCCTCTCCCTGAAAATTCAGGCAGCACACAGATTTGAACCCCAAAACATGAATTATGAACCAGCTTGGCCTAAATGTATGGCACATTTAAAAAAAAAAAAGGGGATAAATAGGACCAAAACTCACAACCGTTGGCAATAAGAGAGGAAAGCAGGACCAAGCAAAAAGAGGTTATCTGAAGTTGCACTGTGTTGCTGATTTCATCAAAGCTCACGCAGCTGTGAGAAGGATGTGAATGATTTAATGGGTTATGACAGACACGTCTTCCTGTTAAGTCAAAGATGTCATCAGCTGCCCAATGAAGTTTTAGCACAGAGAATACGATGACACTTCAGCATGGAAAGAGGCCTCAATGGATTAGATCAGTGGTTCTCAATTCCAGTCCTCGCGTACCACCACTCTGCATATTTTGCATGTCTCTCTTATTTGACACACCTGATTCTAATCACCAGCTCATTAGAAGAATGCATGAACTGCATTCCGATTGACATTGTCTCTACACAATGTTCTTTTCTTCCTATTCCCTGAGCACGGGAAATCCCTTGAAGTTTACTTCACTTTGGAACGAACATTCATTCACGGATTTGCGCTACGCCACGGCCTGCAGCGTCTTCACACACTGACAAAACTTACTTGAGAAGTGTGAAGTGTGACATAATATACTTCCGTAAATAAATACAATTTAAATTCACATCTCACACACTTTAATGCCCTTTGAATGGAACATGTACGCTCCCTTCAAATTGGAATCATGGCGGAATCTCCTGTAATGTCCACTTCGCAGGGCACTTACGGTCGAATAGAACAAACGTTTGAACTGAAGTGATAAGAGATACATACAAAATGTGCAGAGCAGTGGTACGCAAGGACTGGAAGTGAGAACCACTGGATTAGATAATAGATATGTGACAGAATAAACTGTATGGAAAAAATTTCAAAAAACATAATGTGTTCTTGCATTTATCATGTCAAAAGTACAGCTTAAAAGCGCTTTATTGACTGTTATCACATTTTATTCTCAGTCAGACAGTGGTGGAGAAATGTTTTAACCATTCATCATAAATACACTGAGAACAGACAGTTGCTGTAAAGCCACAAAACCACAATCAATAACTCTGGATATGGCTTGAGGTCTCTACTAGTATTGTATGTCGGCCACCTGGATATCTTTTGGATTTGTCACAGCATTATGTTCTGCTTTTATGAATATACAAGACATTCTCTTTTTCAGACATTCAGACTATTGGTGCAGACTGAAGAAAAGAACATGGAACGCCACAGGCGCTATGACTATAATCTATAAAATATTAGCTTGACCCCATGCTGCTTCAAGACGAGGGAGAATTAAATACAAGTCATGGGGAGCACTGATTCAGGTTATTTGTTTCAGGTTCATTTTTAATACATTCCTCAACAGCCCCTAAGCATAAAACTGCCACTATTGAAACTATATTGAGAATGTGGAGAGCTGGGTAGGGCTAAATGGAAAAAAGGTGAAGAAAATGTATACGCTTCTGAGCCCAGACTAATCTTACGACAAGACCCAAGCAATTTTATTTTTCTTGTAAAGGTTGAGGAAAAGGAGACCTCATAATTATATTCATAACTGCTGTAAAAGTTCATTGGGCAAGAGAATAAAAATAAAGGTCACACAGAAACCAACCTCAATTTCAGACTTGATTATTTACTATGTTAAAGTATTGAAATATTGAAGTACACTCGAAGATTCGAGGAACCAAAATGGGTTCTATTCTATGGCTTCACTGTAAAAAAAAACTACAACTTTTTGAACCTTTATTTTTAAGAGTGTGGTGAATTTCAATGCATTTCTCCAAAACAACATACCATCCATTCAACATGTATGATATTTCTCAGTGCAAAAGCAATAGGGATTTTTTTTCTCTTGTGACAAAAACAATTGTCCATCCACAATGGCCTGGCTTGCACTGGTTGGATGACAAACACTGTGGACAGATCATGAAGAATGGAATAGAGCGTGCATGAGGCAACGTCTGGGGACTCTATGAAGCTGTATGAAGGAAGGCAAAGTGTGAGATTGCAAGGCAGGCGTCCACCAATCTGTGAAAATCTGCCTTTGTTTTAACTGGTTGCTTTAGACTGAATTTAATTTGACATTATCTGAAAGGGTTTTTTAGAATTAATATCTATACAGCAGTATACAGTCTGCACCCACATGTAGCAAATAACAAAAAGACAGTTTGACCAGCGATTCCAAACATGAGCAAACACAACACAGACAGAAGCAATTACATAAGCATTCTGATAGTCAGTCAAAGAGCAAGACTACTCCAAGGAAGTAACAGACCACCTACACAGCTTAAATAAATTCAAGAATGCCTTATTTATTTTACACACACAGTAGAGCTGTTTTGTAAATGAAAGCAAGGGATTTCTAGCATTAGAACACTATAATTATCTCTCATATTCATCATATCCTAAAAGCGCCTTTATTTGACCAGACAGTTTCCAATTACAGCTAAACCGACCACACAGGCTCAGAAAAAAAGTTTTAAAGAAATAGTTCTGATGTAGTTCCAAAGCCATAGCCATACGATTTTATTTTACATGTAACACAAAATTAGGTGTTCTGAAGAAATTTTATGTAGCTCTTTTTCATAACAGATTTTATATATATATATATATATATACACACATTTCTTATCATTATCAATGTTGAAAACAATAATATTTTTTGGAAACAAAAAGTCATTCTTTACAGTTTTAAAACCATTTGGATTTTTTTTTATATAAAACTGATCATTTCAAATATATTTATTAAACTATTCGTTCAAGCTGGACAGATACAGTGCTTTGACATGAACATTTTAAAGGTTAGCAGAAGCTGCGTCACACCACATACTCCAGCAACACTCAATGATAAGAGAGCCTGGTGTGGTGATAAATGCAGATTCAGTATAGCATCTCTCCATGCCAAAACCAGATGAGCTGATACAAGCTCTACACAAAAAAAGTGACTGTAGGTCCCGCACACAAAATACACAAACCCAACAGAGGGCAAACTCCAAAAGACATTAGGTGAAAGAACCCCACTGATGTTGGCGCAGGCAGCCAGCCAGAGGAAACAACAAACAAGATGTAGAAGCAGGAGAGGTGTATGAAGTGGATGGAAAATATTTCCCCTTTTTTCTTTTTGTACTTTTTTTTAAATTCATTTTATATTTTGCCTCAGATAATTAGTAAAACAGAGCCACCGGCGCGCCATTTTCTGACAAGCTGTCAGTGAAGTCTGAGGGCATGACAGTAAAACAGCTGCAACCGTTCAGTCTCCAGAGACTGAGATTTCCAAATAAAGAAGAGACTGGGCAGCCGGTACACAAGCCTGTTTTAGAAGAATTACATTTACATTTAGTCATTTAGCAGACACTTTTATCCAAAGCGACTTACAAATGAGGACAACAGAAGCAATCAAAACCAACAAAAGGACAATAATATGTAAGTGCCGTGACAAGACTCGGTTAGCCTAAGGCAGTACATGTAGCAAGGTTTTTTTTATTATCATTATTGTAATAAATAAATAAGTAGCCTAGATAGAATATAAAAAGAACAGGGAACGCTAGTGTTAGAGGTTTTTAAAAATAAATAAATAAATAAAACAAGTCAAAAGAATAGAGAATGCTAGTGTTAGAGGGTCATTTTTTAATAATAAATAATAAAATAAAAAATTGCATATACACCTTTGTCTTGCTAAGGCCAATGTCATAGCTAGCAGTGTATTTATCCTAAATGCACACAATGTCACAACATTTTCCTATTTTAACAAATAGACCTTGACTGAAAATTACCCCCAAATAAAAAAAAAATGTTAAAAAAAATCCTATTGACAAGTGATATTCAAACTGATTTTTCTTTTGTCTTCTTCGTTCATCATGTGTCTCTCAGGCATGCTCTTCAACGCAGTCCCTTGGTGTACAAACACTTACCCAAACTTTAGGGGAAAAAACATATTGATCGTGGTGAAGATACCACAACACAGTCGTAATTTTTGAAGAAAATGTATATAAATAAATTTCATAATGTAAACAATGGCAGTTTGTGTTTACTTGCCTCTTTGCTTGGATTATCATACGTTTTTTAAATGAATTAATTCGTTTTAGATGCATTTTCACAGTTTAAGACTTAAGTCTGGGTCTTGAAAAGGATAAAACAATATAATCTGTACGTATAAATTTGAATGTGTACATTTGAAAAGTAGCAAACTTAAATCACTTGTTCGGTCAAAGGAAGCGTTAGTTCCTTTACCTTTATTTTGAAATGTATTGACTTTTATTTTGATACAATCCGGCTGTGACGTCACGTGGTTGCAGTAGCTGCTTCCATGCTTGAGTTGATGTAACAGGCGTGTGAATTGATCATTGTGCCGGTGTTTGAGATTCATTGATCGGATAAACGGCGATCAGACGGATCTGTTAGCAGACATGTCGTACTGCAAGCAGGAAGGTATGGCTGAACTAAATCGGATCGTTTAAACCCATTTTATACCCATCTGTCTCTGTCGTTTAGTGGTGTAGCTAGTGCTCGTGCCCTTAAAGTCACTCTCACCAGCCATGCTTGGTAATATCAATGAGTTATTTCAATATTTATCTTGAGCTGCAAATAATCTTTTCAGATGTGGTCAAGTGTTTCGTGTTATATTATCTTATATTGTTTGTGTGTAGTGATGTTGATGAATTACTGGATTATTGGTGGAATTACGTTACAGATGAAAATTCGAGTTAACCAGAGTCAGCAAGCGCTCAATAAAACATGCATTTCAAGTGTAATGCAATACGTTTTCCATGACTCGTATATCTGATTTATTTTGATGGAGTCATTCAGTAATCACAGCTATGTTGTGTCACCCTTCATGTAGCAGGTGCCTACAAGGTCATATAACCTGGGGAGTTAATAACCTCAGCCCACCAGATGCTTAATTTATTCATTATGAACACATTATGAGTTCTAGAAATATTATAATATAATATGAACCTAAACACACAAAACTGCAATTGTTAGAATGTTAGATTTATTTAAATCCAACAAAAAAAAGTAACATTTTCAAGAACTTCTTGTGTACAGACCAAAGTGTTTTATTTAACCTTTAACTGTTTGTGGATCGTTTTATAAAGTGTAAAGGTTTTTGATTACTCCGAAATTGCAGTCCAGTGTCTGTAAGACATTGAAGGGGTTGTTAGTATAATACCGTGTTATTATTTTAGCATTATTTGTTTACTAGTATAGTATTTATAAATAAATATATATTAAACATTTTTATATAATTTCTGTCTTTTTTTTTTGTTTAACAATGTAATCATTATTTAAGACTTTCTAATAATTCTAATATTTGTAATAATTTTGTGATTTGCAATTTCTATTAATTTTTTTTATATATTTAATTTTAGCTTGAATTTATTACATTTTATTGTTATTATTATCAGGCAGCATTTTTTAAATGTTTTTTTTTTTCATCTAATATGTAATTTATTTATTTTCAGCTTTAATTCAGTTACCATAAATGTTTTTTTAATATTTTTATTTTTTAACAATAGTAACACTGGTATAGTGGTCAGTTAATATATGCTTTTCAGTGGCTGACTGTTTGATCCCCCCTAAAACTATTTGATAACATTGTGTATAACTTCCTTCTTGTCTCTCACTAGGTAAAGATCGCATCATATTTGTCACTAAGGAGGATCATGAAGCACCCAGTGATGCTGAGCTCATCGAAGATGATCCAGATGATCCGTATGAGGATCACGGTAAGTTTTTAATCTGATATGATTTATCTTGTGTCTAGGATACTCATTTTTACACTCATTTCTTTAAATCCTACAGGTCTTATTCTCCCTAATGGTGATATAAACTGGAACTGCCCGTGTTTGGGCGGTATGGCCAGTGGCCCTTGTGGACAACAGTTCAAAGACGCCTTTTCTTGTTTCCACTATAGCAAAGAAGAGGTAAAGGGTTCAGATTGTGTGGAAAACTTCCGGAGTATGCAGGAATGTATGCAGAAATACCCTGAGCTCTACCCTCATGAAGATGACAACGACAGCGCCCCCTCTGGCGGGGCCGATAATGCACCCACTGAATCCACTTCTGCTGACTCTCTCCCTACATCCTCTCCTGATTCCACACCAGCAGCCACAGAAAGCCCAGCAGCAAGCTAATATTATTTTAGCTTCATTTTTTCCGCACCTCACAGCAGAGACTGCTCCACTTTCGAGTATGAAGAGATAATATCTTAACTACACCACTGGATAGATGCTCTCCACCTGACTGCATGATGCACAGAGATGCAGGAAGCCCTTAAACTTCAGGTTTTGTGATTAAAATATCCAAATGACATTAACATGCATTTGAGGGACCTATAAAAATGAGTTTTGAGGATCTGTATGAGTGGCAGTTGAGTTTGCACTTGGCCTATGAAACATTCGCTACCATTTGAAACGTCAGGCTTTGTATTTTTTGGCTATTATTTCCTCCACAGCCTAAGCTAAGCTTATTTGATTTGTGTACTACAACAGTTCAAAGGCCATTTGGCATTGTACTTTCACAGCTAAGCAGTTTTGAGATACTCAACAACTCCATAAACATTTAATGTGCTCTTTTTGTTGTAGAACATGATTAAACAATTTTATAATGAAGAAATGTTCTGTTGCTGATGTGTTCGAATGCATGTAGCCCAAGGCTGCATACAAAGTATAAACATTAGGGTGTGTGAGTGAGCAAACTAGTAGCCTTACCTGTCAACTGATGATACATTCGTAATTTGTTGGTGTTGACTATTATAATGGTGAAACAACACATTATAAATGAGCAGATCTTCTGTTTAGTAAGAACATGCAAATATCTCTTGTTCCAAAGACTGGTAGTTTTTTTTTTCAATTGAAGTATCTTAACATCGAGGGCTGTTTCTAGATCCATTTTCAACACATGCTAACATTAAACAGTGTTAAATTGTGCTGATATCAGATCCTTTTTGTAACTCCGAAATATTTTTAAGCTTATGTGGCTTGATTTATATATATTCTATCAATGGCATTTACAAATCTAGCTGTTTATCACTGAATTACTTTTGAGTTTGATTTGTCATTCAAAGCCTTAATGTGATATATGTGTTTCTGAAAAAAAACGTTTTAATCAAATATATGAGTCCAAATCATGCATAAGCACTGGGAGAATTTGAATCATTCAGTCTGTACCTTTTTGTTTTTCATTTTACAACTGTGTGACCCATTCAAATGCATTTTTAAAAACACTTGACTGAAATGTAGTAAGAGAAAAGGCAAATAAAATACAAAAGTGTGAATGAATCTCAAAAATGTCCTGCGGTCCTTTAGATTCACTGGCTTGCGTTTATCATTTGTCCATTCATATCTTCAAGTAACTAGTTTTTGATGACGATAATCTAAAAACTACAGAGGAATTAGTACAGCAACAGTTTTGATCCGTCTTATGAAAGCCGTATCCATGTTGTGTCATGTCCACACGTCAACAGCCACCAAGATGACCAAAGTTGTGCTGTATGACAATTACAGTTATTTTAAGTGACTGTTCAGTGCACGTTGCCATGCAACTACTTAATGAATCTTGTTTCTGGTAATAGGCCGTAAGGTGAAGCCGTTTTTCGTTTAATCCTGTCTCTGGAGGTGCGATACCACAAGTCCTGTTACAGACAGTACACCAGGTTCTTGACAAAGTCTACTGCAACAGTTACTGGGACCTCAGAAGAACAGTGAGTTATTATATTGCATTATCAAATGATAATTAAAAATTGTGGTACATTTCAAAAGTAAAGCATTGACCATCTACATAGTCTGTATATTTGTCTGTAAACAGAGTTTTGACTGCACAAATCTTGGCACAGCAATTCAATATGATCAAATGTGTAGTGGAAGGTAGAATAAACTAGTAATGTTTTATTACCAATTATTATATTTTATATTTTAAATAGAAGCCATTGTGGAATAGTTATGGCACATAAAGTAATATATCTTTTCTGTTTTTTTTCTGTGTTTTCTTTTAAGAAATGAGCCAACCTTCGATGCCAGCTACAAGATCTTCTGTGAGAGGATCATCCGCCATAGGAGTATATAATGCACCAATATCTTTCTCAGATGTTAAGGTACATGTATAATGGTCAGTTTAAGATATATTTTGTGTTGCTAAAATGAATATAAATAAAGTTATAAGCAAAACCAGCAGCATAAGATTTTCGTTTTTTTAAATTCACAATTATACACATTTATGGATCGTGACAAAAAACTGCAGGATATTTTGCGGAGAACTTTTAACATAAAGTCCAATATGGTGTTGTCTATGCAAAAATGCATTTAAAAAGTAGTGCCCAGGCGTGGGAACGAAAATCACTTTCTAGCCACTTTTTCCTAGTTCACCTTATGGCCTATAATTACACACATTCCATTTCCGTTGTATCCGGCGGTCATGGTCCATTTAGGATCCAGCTGCCTGCTTTGGTACAATGGCATCATTTCCAGTGACTTGGGGCTTTCAAGTTTGGGAAGTGTTGTGATACTGTACATTTGGGTAAAGTCGTGCTCATAGGCAGCCCTGATGCAGTGCTTCTGTGACCTGAAAGCCCAGGATGGGGGTCCAGAGGACTACTAGACTCTGCATGGTGACCAGTAGCCGTCCTGCGCCAACATCTTCAGGACCTGCTAGTAGATAGTTCCCACCTAAATATGGAGACAAAACAGTCACTAATGGCAAACTTTACTGAATCAAAGCTGTGACCCAAATTGGTGTTGGATGCTGTACCTGGGTTGAGAATGGGACAGGTGCAGCCACGGCTGGTCCAGGAGAGCGGGTAGAGACTGTGTGTTCCCTGAGAGAGGGGCAGTTTTCCCGAACGAAACACCTTCCTTACTTTCACCAGGACAACTGCATGTGTGCCTTTATCATGAGCTGACAGCACACTGGCTTTGATCACTATGAACGCCACAAACTCATAAGATTTACATGTTTAGACAGCAAATGACAACAGAATTGATTCATAGCATGAAATGACACTAACAAAACCCTCACCATATGCCTGTTTTATCTTGCAAAGATCTGACACACTTTTCAGCTTCTTTTCCTTACAGCTGCACTTCCCTGTAAATAATTCACAAGAAACATTTCAAAGGTTCTGTACATATTAACGTATTTAATCTCACAAAAACACATCCTGGTCATAGAAATTGTGTAATAATTAAAATAAATCAAAGGAAGTGCATTTTTAGGATTAAGATTGAATTTTTACCCCAAATTTTCATTACTGCAATGAGTCTGAACATTTGATTGAGCTAAGATATATTTTATTACAATAAAAACAATGACTGTAACACAATGTTTCTTTTTATTTTAACAACAAATAGTACCATGATATATATTAATTGTTTATTCAAAAGAAATGAATACTTTTACTTAGTAAGGATGCATTAACTTGATCAAAAGTGACAGCAAAGACATTTATAATGTTACATAAGTTTTAAGTATAAGGTTTTTTTTTTTTTTTTCAAATAAATGCTGTTCTTTTGAACTTCCTATTCAAAGCTGAACTTTAATGTTTTCAATGTTTCTTGAGCAGGAATAAATGGCATTTTATAATATATAAAAACGGCGAACATTTACTTTAAAATCACAATAATATTTCACAATATTACTGTTTACTCGATTCTTGATCAAATAAATAAAGCCTTGGTAAGCATAAGAGACCTCCTTCAAAAACATGAAAAAAATCCTATCGACCTCAAACTTTTGAATGGTAGTGTTTAATCATATACTAATTTTTATGTATTTTATGTATCATTTTTATTATACTAAATGCACTAGTATTTGCATTTTTTTTTACAATACTGTAAAGAGAATATTGTCATGAAAATAATGTCACGATGCAAAATGGTCCTGAAATTGGCTTCATTTTCCTTAAGTATTTATATTTTTATTTTTTGATTTTGGGATGACCTGGGGTGTATTCCAGAAAGCAAGGTTAACTTACCCTCACAACTCAGAGTATATTCACGGTTAACACACAAGACGTTCTCAACAGAGTGAAGAATGGACGAGTCACCATGGAAACCCATGCTAAGAATTCTTCTTTCTTCTTCTTTTGTTCAATGGTCATTTATATGCTTAGTGCATATCGCTACCTAATTGATGGTTGTGTAATCACTTTTCAAATTTTTTTTCGTTTAATTTTTTAATCACTGAGAATAAGAATTATATTGTTTGTTTTATGTTAACTATATATAAAAAATATCACATATGTATTTTTACATTTGAAGGAACCACATAAAAAGCCACATCCTAAAGTCCAATTTCCTGCTGCAATTTCCCATGTTTCAAAATAGCCGCTGTTAGTGTGGAATGTTTTGTTACTGTAGTCAGCTCACCTGTATAGTACAGCGCAGAGATGGCCAGTTCTTTAGGCCACGCCCTCTCGTCCTCTTGAGGTTTAAAGTGGGACAGTTCAGGAATTTTCCCACCGATTGGTACATTGTAAAGCTTGACACTACCTTTGCTGTTAAAGAAAAATGATACGACAACAAAAACCAATGGTATTTCAAAATCTCCAACAGGTATCACAATCAACTTAAGTCATTAAAACCAGACATTTGGATTTAAAATGATCAATGCTCAGTGTTTTAGTTTCAAATCACAAATGGTAAATTTAGAAAGAATTGAAAATTTAGTCTGACCTGTCTAGGCAATGGCCTGTGATGGGATCACAGGTCAAAGAGCACACACAAGATTTGCAACCCTCCTCTCCAAAACCCCAGTACCCTGCTAGACAGAGGCTGCAGGTGGTGCCGCCCACACCAGGTTTACAGTGGCACTGTCCACTTCTCGGATGGCACCATGGTGTCCCGTCACCGGAATGGACTAGCACCGAACCAACTGGGTCACACCAGCATCCTGCCATAGAAAAGATCTTTGGTCATTGGTTCATCAGCTCTTCCCACTGCTTTTAAATCACTTTAGTGGATTGTGCCACACTGCCACCACTAGGAGGCAATAAAAGATTGTAAATGATTGCAAAGTTAACCATTTTGATACAAAAAGTGATTTAAAATTTTTTTGAAGAAAATAAGGAGTGCTTAAGAATGCAGTTCTAAGTGGTTGCTAGGATATTGTTAAGGATAAGCAGGGTGGCTTATTTTATTCTAAATGATATTTTTCTTATTTTGTCTCAAATGTTTATATTTTAAAAGATATTTTTCCTATTTTCTCTTTTTTATATTGTATTGTCCACCGGGTAAAATTAAAGTCTTTTTAACTACCTTTTAAATTCGTATAAATCCTTATTTAAGCGTTACAGTAATGGTCCAGTTGCAGCTCCACTCTTAAAATTAGATATCCATCCAGCCCTACAACTATTTTCATAATTTCCATGATTCTTAATAGTGTTTCCTATTTTTTTCCCCTCAAATTTTTATCTTCTTAAAATATATTTTTCCTATTTTTGATAATGTATTGTCCACCAGGTGAAAACTGTGACCCAAAAGTCATTTTAGAAAAACAAGAAGTTATATTTTGATTAAAGATTACAAATGTATCTTTAAAATTTTTTTTATAAATAATAATAATTATAATAATAATGCACCAATAAATTGTTCACAATAAGACCAAGAATATGCTGTAATGAAGTAAAGTCAATTTTGGGTTCAGATAGGAATAATTATTTGAGGGCAGAACCGTTTAAGATCTCGTTGTCCTTTTCTCTTTGTTTCTTCCGTTCTTTCTAACTGTCTTACGTATGCAAGCATGCGGGGAGTTGAGGGGTCTGGCAGGGTGGCGGTGGTATCCGGTGTGACAGCGCTGGCACCGGCGGCCCACAGTGTTATGCTGGCAGTTGTCGCAGACGCCCCCGCTACTGCCCCCTGTGGACAGCCACACTCGCTGGGAGAAGTGGCAGCTCTCTGCGTGGCCGTGACATTCACAATCTTCAGCAACAAAAAGAGAACACAGAGGAAAAGTTACGGAGAGAAAGAGACAGTATGGATCAAAGAATCATCCTAAGAACTAATCTATCTATCTATCTATCTATCTATCTATCTATCTATCTGTCTGTCTGTCTGTCTATCTATCTTTTCCATTACAAACTATTTTTTTAACCAAACGGTTTCTGTATTTTTTTTCCATACTATGGAAGTCCAGCAACTGACTATGGGACCAGCAACTGTTTGGTTAGTCACTTTCTTCCAAATATCTTATGTTCAACAGAAGAAAGAAACTCATTTTGGAACAACTTGAGTGTGAGTAAATGATGAAAGAATTTTAATTTTTGTGGATATGCCTGGAATCCCTCCTGCATTAGAAAGCACCACTAATTATGACATGATAAAAAGATAGAAATGCCTTTCATAGCGCAATTTCTATTTTCAACGATTAATAACGGAATTTAAGGCTGAATTAACACATACAGTAAATGCACTCACTCTGGCATGGGTTGCTCTCCCCGCTGCTTCCGTTGGCCGCTCTCCAGGGCTGGTCGTTGTAGAGCGGGGCACACCTCTCGCAGTGCTCGCCAGCTGTGTGGTGGGTACACACACACTTGCCAGACACCTGCGCTCCAGAGGAATGATTCACTTTCAATTTGCTGCCCATTCAAGCCCTGCATATAACAGCCCACTTGGTGCTTGCTGGGTGAGTTCACATACACCCTCAAGTATGCAGAAGAACAAACAAGTTGCTTCACACATTCACTCTGTCATTCATTCTGTCACTTACAGGTGGCTGCGATGCTGTTCGTCCCAAAAATCACTTACAAAATGGACAAACTTACCACATTACTGGGTTGCAGGCTGTCTTGTCCTACATTTTCAGGAAGGCAATGTTCAGCATGGCCATGACACAAACACGTCCCTTTAGCCAGAAGAGAGTACACAGCAAATGAGGTTGAATCCAGAGGATCAGAACTTGGCGTCAGAGCAGTCAGTGACCTGCTGTGAATTGTGGGTAAAAATGGCAGGTTTGACTGATCCGGGACACTCCACTTTCCTTTCAAGATGGGACACTGTTGAGATTTTAATAGCTGTATTCGTAGGTTAGTCACTGTCAGTCGGGACAACGCCTCAGGACTGTAGGGATCAACAATCCCACTTCCCAATCCTATGGAGCGGAATATGATCTAGAAAACAATTAAAAACAAATAATTGTGAATTATCACGGATAAAACACAGAAAAATGTCAATTCTGTCAACATTTACTCCCCTCATGACTTTCTTTCTTCCATGGAACACAAAACAAGATATTTTGAACAATGTTGGTAACCAAACAGTCCCACTGACTTCCATAATATGGAGAAAACATACTATGGAAGTCAATGGGATCCTGATGAAACTGTCATGTTTTGATGTGACAGAAAAAAAGACATGCATAAAGGTTTGGAATGACATGAGGGGAAGTAAATGATGACAGAATTTTCATTTTTGGGTGAACTGTCCCTTTAAAAAGCATTAGATTTAAAGATCTTAGATTTAAATATTTGTACTCAAATGAGGGAATATATTTGGTTGAAACATTATTTAAAATGGATCATTTTAAGCCATTTGTATGTTGATCATGCTTACATGCTTCACATTTAAACTTACTGCAAAATTGCAATTTACCAAAAAGAAAGATGTTTTGTGGTGCTTTAGAGACCTTATTTCCTTCCTTACCTCTCCTCGGCTGCACGGGACCGCATTGGAATATCTGGAAGTGCAGAGAGATCCTGGTTGACTTACATCATCAGGAAGCCCGAACATCTCAGTGCAGTTCCTGGCAAACAGCTTTAGAGTCTCCCAGGTCTGACCAAAGTCCTGCGAGCGTTCCAACCTCATAGCAGCAGGACGTGGGGAACGGAACAACATCACAACGTGACTCATGCAGAACCGTGTCTCCAAATCAAGACGGATTTCTTCCTGTTCTCCAGTGGCCGCCGCTGAGCCCCACCAGGTATCTGGATGAATAAACGGGTCATCAGCCATGAGGGCAGGAGGATGGAGCTCTGCTAGACAGCGTGGCTGGGTTGGCAGGCAGGAAGAGCTATTAGTGCAGCAGCTAGTCAGCGTGAAAAGGGTCCTGCCACTGGCCAAGTTACCCATAGGAGGACTGCAAGCACGGCCAACACATCTGGACTCTATGTAAATGAGGAAACATGCACACACATTCACAAACAAATCCAGATTAACTTTCATGCTGATGATTTGAAATGCACCATTTTTGAACACTGAACTTCTCTAAACACTACAAGTCAGGTTCTGGCATGTCACAGCACAATGTCTGACAACCTGAGCCTTTAATTAATGTAGCTCACAGTAGGGCTTTCACAGAACCAAAAACTGTTTGCAGTTTCTCCAAATGTTGCAGAAAAGTGACATTTAATATCATGTAAGAATGATAAAAATGAGTAAATAATAATACTTAAAATTGTTCAATATGATATATATATATATATATTTATTTACATATATACATATATGTGCATCAATTGTGCACTGACTTGTTATCCAAATATGAAATGAATTACGCAGCTTACATTTTCAATAAGCATGAAACAAAATATAAATCCATGAAAAATGAACACCAGATCTCACACTAAGTTTATGCATCTGACAATTTGATTATTATTACAAGGAGATGTCTGGCTATTTTAATGACTTCGTCTTCCCACAAAGGGCAAAAACGTTATTTGGTAACAGTTTATCATAATATTCTTTAGACATCTGTTAAAAATGATATAAAATGTAATTAAATTTGTTTACAAATCATTATATAATGCATTATATAAAACTTAAAACATCTGTGGTTTGTGTATACATGAGTGAAAATGAATAAAAGTTTATGGATAGAGAGAGAGAGAGAGAGAGAGAGAGACAGACAGACAGACAGACAGACAGACAGACAGACTTGCCTGTGAAACCCTGCAGGATTGCAGGAAATAAGATCACTGCGCACTTCAGTATCACCATCACAAACTGAGGACTCCTGAGATGTTTCATGTTTAGCAGTCTGGATGTAAAGGCAGGTTAGTTATCCATAGTTAGAAGAATAGATAAACCATCATGTCCCAATGCATGGTCAGTTCAGTTTGGAGATGTCTCCTTCACTGTCTGTTTGTAAACAGAGTTTGCATGAAAAGTTGCAGGAAATCCAGCTGCTGGTAATCCATTTCTCACAACGAGTCGGTAAGAAAACTTTTCTGATGATGGTGGTGATCTGGGATGCACCTGTCCAAACGGCACGCGGTTCATTCCCTTAACATTTTTGTTTTTGTGCATTCAGATGAAGAGCGAACTATTGTCCTTTCTGTGTCTGTACATGACAGTCTTTTCAAACTGAAGGTAAAAGAAGGACAAAACCGCGCAGGTCTCTCTGGTAATAGCAGTGAGTCGCACCTATACGTAACGCGCAGCGTTGTTCCAGCTTCCCAAGAGCACAGATGAATGACTGTGATCCACTGGCCTGAATCTGAAGCATTGAACGGATCGAAACGGAGCTCTCTCTAGTGCCCCACAGTGGAATGCTACACTAGTGCAATTCCCTGCCGACATCAAACAAGTGATCTTGATTACATTTTGTTAACTGTACCAGACATGATTACCGTTGTCATTCATGCCACTAAATGTCCTATCCTATATCTGAAGGAAGCATCCTGTGAAACAAAAAGATAATAGAAAAGGCAAAAAAGGGACATATATACACTCTAAAAAATGCTGGGTTATTTCAACCCAACTTTGGGTCAAATATGGACTAAACCAACCGTTGGGTTAAATTTTTACATTAACCCAAAATTTGGGTTAGTCCAAATTTGACCCAAAGTTGGGTTGAAATAACCCAGCATTTTTTTAGAGTGTACATACATAACCATTTTTTATGTTTATGTATTTATTTATTTCCAGCAAAAGGATAATTTAACCAGAAATGAAAATGATGACATAATTTATTCACCCTCATGCCATTCCAAAGACATTTACTCATCTTGTATCTGTGGAACGCAAAAGGAGACATTTATCAGAATGTCCATGGTTCTCTTTTCCATACAGTGAAACAAGAAATGAATATATATATATATATATGATTTGACCACATTAGCATATAGTATAATAATGCTAGAGTGTATTGTTGTTATTAACATTCAATTAATTAATAAAATATATAAAAACAAAACTTTTACATTTATTAATTTACTGAAACGTTTGCAAGATATTTCTTTTTCACAAAGCAATAATGATTTTCTGGGTCTTTTATTTGGTGATTCTGCAAGTGGGTGCATGTGTGAGTTAGGTCAGATTCGCTGGGGTTGGAGAACAAAGTTAATGTGATCCAGCCACATGGAGAATTCCAGAAACTGTCTACATATATACCAGCACCAAAACCTGCTCTCCTTAATGGGGTGAGAGATGTTACTTTATGAGCCTTTTCCTGCTGGTTTTGAACTGCAGTAGTTCTGTATTATGGGGGCCTTTGATGTTTCATTTAAGGAAATTCTAAATACACACAAAAAATATATATGTGGACTCCTATAGATGTATATTGTGACATGAGGAAATACAGCAATATGTTACATTAGTAGAATGTTTCTGCCTGGTGGTTATTGAAATCATACATTCTGTACATAAACTATTGACATTTGTGCATTTAAAGGAGGAGGTAGTGTATATTTTGAAAAGTATTACGTGTAGTTAGAGCTGAACTGTCCCAGAGTTTCTGCTTTGAGTTGAGATGAAAACCATATGGAAATTTATTTGACTGAAGTTCAGAATAAGCCTCCTCAGCCTCTCTTTGACAAAATCAGAAGTCAAAGACTAGTAACAAATTATTCCATTAAATTAGAGTTGTAAAGTAGGGTTAGTTAAATTTGCGTGATACACACTCAAAAGCATAAAATAAGTCACCGGAGAGAAGCAGCACATGAACAGTCGTCTCTTTACTGACTCACATGCTCAGCGCTGATAAAAACAACATCAACTCACAATTCAGCCAATTAGAAAACAGCAAGATGAACACTGAAGTAAATAAAACATTTTTGAACAAGAGCACATATTCCAGACTTGAACCCACTATCTCCCATTTATATAATGATATATATATATTTAACCTTACAGAGTGATAGAGTCCAAATTTAAAATATCATTTAATGGAATAATTCACCCAAAAATGAAAATTTACTTACCCTCAGTTTATTCAAGGTGTAGATGGCCGAATACTTTCATGTCACTTTGCCAGCTTGTCTTGCCTGTTATGTGCCTAGTTTACATTCAAACAAATGTTGGGCTCATTTTGTGTTCATTAACTATACATAAAATTCTCAAGACAAAGATGAAAATTGATTTATCCTCATTTAAAATCTATGTGTGTTTCCATATATTTGATGGAATCAATAAAAAGCTCTGGTTACTTGCGTAACCTTGGTTCCCTGAGATAAGGGTACAAGCGTTGCGATGCTGACGCATATGGGGAAACTCCTGTTTACTCTGATACTGAAGCCTGATTTGTTCACTTTCGTGTAGCTGCAAGAACCAGTGGTGCTTCAGCCCACCAAAAGGGGTGGAGCCGACCGAAATATAAGTTGGCTCTTAGCGCATTTCGTCAGAAGCGACAGTCATCGATTAGTGTGCAGTCTTATAGCATGGCAGCCTACGCAACGCTCGTTTGCTTATCTCAGGGAACCGAGGTTACGTTAGTAACCAGAGCATTCCCTTTCAAACAGTCTCTCCTGTTGCATTGCTGATGCTTATGGGGAACGCATCCAACAGTGCCATATTATAAGCAAGTGCAGAACGGAGCGGCTCTGCGAGCCCATCCCCGGAGCACCCACACTGAGGGCTCCTGTAAGCATGAGCCAGTAATGAGACCCCAGCCGCTTAGGCTGAGGACTACATAACATAACCCTCTCCACTTACAAAGGGGATTAAGCAGAATTAAGCAGACAAAATCTGTGCCTGCAGGGAAGGGACATCCAAGTTATAAAACCTGGTGAAGGTAGACGGCGACGACCAGCCGGCGGCCACACAAATATCACCAATAGAATCCCGCTGGACCAAGCCAAGGAGGAGGCCATTCCTCTGGTGGAGTGGCCCAAACAGGCCAGAGCGATCAACGTACACTCTTAAGAGCCCAAACCAGGCAGAGTGTATTAGGACCCTGCTCACCTTCTGAATTGGAGAGCACTAGACGGGTGATAGAACTTGTGCCCTGAATGGAGTGGAGAGCACTTTCTGTGTCTTGGTTTGAGGATGACTCTACAGTCATTAGGCCCAAAAAACATTTGAATTTGAGTATGTTAAATTTAGGCGAAAATACCAAAAAACGCCCTGAGCTTAAGTTTAAAGCCAGAAGGACGGCAGTCTTAAGTGACAGGGGCCACAAGTCGGCCTGACTGGAGCAGCTCAAAGATAAGTCCCATGTCAGCACAGTATGAGGGCAAGGTGGATTCAATCTCAATCTCAGAAATTTAACGACTAGGTCGTTTCTGCCGATTGACTGGCCAGCCACGGGAGAATGATTCGCCGTGATGGCTGCCACATATACTTTGTGCGTGGAAGCGGTGCGCCCCTTATCCAGTAGCTCTTGTAGAAAAGTTAGCATGTAGGACATGTCACAAGAGGAGTGGTCTGCACTGCACACCAGTCAGAGAAGACTGACCATTTAAGGGCATAAGGACGTCTTGTAGATGGGGCTCTAGCCTCCAAAATGGTATTAGTTACACTTGCGGGGAGCTGCAGAGACTCCCATCGAAGGGCCAAACATGTAGGCTCCACAGCTTTGGCTGAGGATGCCAAATTATGCCCTTCGCTTGCGAGAGAAGGTCAGTCCTCAGTGGTATTGGCCAGGGGGCTGCCGATAGCAGCTGAATCGGGGAACTACATCTGATTCCTCCAGAGTGGGTCCACCAAGACGAAATAGTATCTGACTTCCCTGACTCATCTGATGACCTGAGGAAGCAGCGCTGGGCCAATCGCGGGCCAGGGCATCTCACTGTTTTGAAAAGTAAATTGGGAAGTGAAAGTTGTCTTCTAAAGTGAAGAGGTCCACCTCTGCCCTGCCGAAGACAGACCAGGTCATTTGAACCATTTGGGGATGTAGTCTTCTTTCTCCTGGAGCCTCATTGCCCCTGGACAGCATGTCTGCCCCTTGGTTCAGTCTGCCCGGCACATCAACTGCTCTCAGTGAGAGGAGTTTGCATTGTGCCCATAAAAGGAAGCGTCGAGACAACCTGTGAAGGGAGCATGACATGAGACCGCCTTGGTGATTGATAAAGGCTACCACCATCATGTTGTGGACCAGGCCCCTTAAGGCCGGCAGGAAGGTTTTCAGTGCTAGAAAAACCGCCATCATCTCGAGGCAGTTGATGTGTAAGCGTTGATCCAGGTTTGACGAAAGATGGTCTGCCCTCGTACAGAGCTCCCCAACCTGAGTTCTCCAACCATCTGTCATGACCGCCTTCCTTCTGGAGGTCAGTCCCAATGGGACACCTGATTGAAACAGGTGAGTTTTCCAAGGGGCCACAGCTCCTGGTGGGTTACCAAGCGGTGGGTTACCCTGAGATGAAAACATCCCAGGCACCAAGTGTGGGACTGGACATGGGCTTTGAGCCAATATTGGAGGGGCCGCATGTGAAGCAGGTCCAGAGGAATCACAGAGGAAGCGGCCGACATGAGGCTGAGCATCCTCTGGAAAGCCCTTGAATGACGCCTCTAGCCACTGAACAGTCAGGGAGCGTTCTGGCATAATCCATGCCCGCATCCGGGCAGAATCGATAAGTGTCCCCAGCCATCTCATGAGCGAGTGGTTAAAATGCCTGTGATCGAGATTGGGTCTGATCTTTCTTGGGAACAAGGAAGTAACAGCTGTAAAAGCCAGACTCACTGTTCACTAGAGGAACCGTTTCCAATGCTCCTTTTGCAAGCAGTGTTTGTACTTCGGACCAGAGAACATGAGCATCGTTGTCCCGTACCGAAGTTTGAACGATAACTTTGAAGCGACGTGGCCTGAAAGCGAACTGAAGCAAGTAGCCTCGTTCTATGATTTTTAAAACCCAACTTGACACATCTG